CCGGCACGGATAGCAAACTTGCGTGCCGATGTGCCCTGAACACCACCGTCACGGATAGAGGCCGCGCTCAAGGACCACCCCGTGCGCACCCCCGGTGGTGTCGAGAAAATGCCACGCCTGCTATGCCCCGGACGACCGTCGCGGACAACAGCGCCGTGGACGACCGGCACGGATAGCGACCGCGCTCAGGGACCACCCCCTGCGCAACCCCTCTGGTGTCGGGAAACAGCCACGCCTGTTATGCCCTGCGCCATGCCCCGCATAGACGCCGCTCTCGGAGACCACTCCTTGCGCACCCCCTCTGGCGTCGAGAAAGTACCACGCTTGCAATGGTCTGCGCCATGGCCCGCATGGACGCCGCGCTCGGGGACCACCCCCTGCGCACCCCCTATGGTGGTGAGAAAATGCCACGCTTGCTATTCCCTGCGCCATGGCCCGCATAGACGACGCGCTCGGGGACCACTCCCTGCGCACCCCCTATGGTGGCGAGAAAGGGCCACGCCTGCTATGCCCTGCGCCATGGCCCGCATAGACGCCGCGCTCGGAGACCACCCCCTGCGCACCCCCTATGGTGCCAAGAAAATGCCACGCCTGCTATGCCCTGGCCCGCATAGACGCCGCGCTCGGGGACAACCCCCTGCGCACCCCCTGCGGTGTCGAGAAAGTGCCACGCCTGCTATGCCCTGCGCCATGGCCCGCATAGACGCCGCGCTCGGGGACCACCCCCTGCGCACCCCCTATGGTGGCGAGAAAGGGCCACGCCTGCTATGCCCTGCGCCATGGCCCGCATAGACGCCGCGCTCGGAGACCAACCCCTGCGCACCCCCTATGGTGGCGAGAAAGGGCCACGCCTGCTATGCGAGAAAGGGCCACGCCTGCTATGCCCTGCGCCATGGCCCGCATAGACGCCGCGCTCGGGGATCACCCCCTGCGCACCCCCCATGGTGGGAGACGCGGGTGCGACGCGGCAGGGATGAAAACCAACACTGTGCTGTGCTGTGCTGTGCTGTGCTGTGCTGTGCTGAGCTGTGCTGTGCTGTGCTGTGCTGTGCTGCGCTGCGCTGTGCTGTGCTGCGCCGTGCTGCGTGAGAAGGAGAAGGAAGAGGGATGAGGAGGAGACGCGGGTGCGACGCGGGTGCGACGCGGGAAAGAAGAAAACCATAACCCCACTAAGCATGTGGGGAAAAACCAAGACCACGGCGTCGAGCTCTTTCGCTGTCCCCGATGTCGTGGATTAGTAGCTCCCCCCACCCTCGCCCGCATACTCCCAATGCCGTGGCGGCGGCGGCGGTGGCGTCGAAGTTCATGGCAGGCCGAAAGGGCTGGCAAGGCTGATGCGTAGCTGCCGCAGGCGCTGGAGCCATTGCTGGAGGCGGTGGGTAGCCTGCTGAAGTCGCTGTTCCGCCTGGCGGGGCTGATGCGCGGGGCTGCGCCGGCGCCGACTGCGTCTGCGGGAGCTGTTCCGCGAGGCTGTCGAGGAGCTGCGCGCCCACACTCTCCTTGGAGCTGCCACTCTGGATGGCTAGCTGTGCCTGCGCGAAGATGCGCTTGAGGTTGGCCATGGCTGAGGCTGCCTCCGAGGCCTGGGCTGCCGACGCTGGCTGCGCGATTGCCGCCGCTGTGCTGAAAGGCTGCCTGTGCCTGGGCCACCTCGGCGCGGATGGACGCGACCTCCGAGATGATGACCTGGTGCCGCGTCTTCGCTTCGGTGAGCTTCGCGTCCAGGTCCTTGATCTGAGTCGCTTGCTCTTCAGCTTGAGGAGCGAGCTTGACGGCCAGGCGGTCCTCGGCGGAGCGGAGGAGGTCATCGGGCGCCAGCTCCGCTCGGACCGCTGCCTCAGCTCTGGCCAAGGCATCTCGGGCCGCCGCGAACAGCTCGTTGCTCTCGTCGTTGCCATATAGACGTCGGACATGGCCCAGAGCACGTCGGCATTTGGTGACCTCTGAGCTTGCCGCGCTGGCTTGCCTCTGGCATCCCCAGCATCAGCAGCAGAAGCGCGAGCAGACGCATCCCCCCGAGGTCTGAACGGGCGCCTGCTGTGTGTCCGCCTCGGCGGGTCTGCAGCTCCCTCTTTGGCGCTGGCCCCTGGCGGGCGGCCGTCTCTGTCACGGCCGTACGTCCAGCATGTGGTGCGGCTGGGGGAGCTCTTCTTGAACCCACACGCTCGAGTCGCGCGGCAGGCCCAAACTTCGGCATCCTGCATGTCGTGGCCGACCGACTCCCCGTGCTGGCTGCGCAGCAGGGTCGTGGCGCTCTCCACTCGGAGCAGCGATCTGGCCTCCGATCGCCTGCGGCGGAGCCGCCCGTGCCATGCGGGAGGGGCGGAGCGATCGCGGCGGCGCGCGCGGACCGCCGTGGCACCCTCGCCCTGGGCAGGGCTGGGGGCTGGGGTTCGGGAGAAGACGGGCCGCCCCTGGCCCGCGGTCCGGCTTACCTGGAGGAGGAGGAGGAGGAGGAGGACGAGGAGGAGGAGGAGGAGGAGGAGGGCCCAGGAGGGACGAGGAGGATGGGGAGGAGGAGGAGGAGCGAGCGAGCGAGCGAGCAACGGAGAGGCAGCACGGCCCCTCCATGGCAAAGTGAGGGGACCATGGCAGACCTCTGCTGCCCCAGCACGAGGGGCGCTGCGGAAAAAACGCCAGAGGGCGTGGGTGTGCGCTCAGGTGCGAGCACGGGCCTCGAAGCCGCTCCAGGGCGGTGATCAAATTTGGGGGTCCTAAGACCGTTGGGTCGGGTGACAGACCGCGCGGTGACCTCGAGATCCCGAGAGACCTTACCGCGCGGTCCGTCACTGCACGGCTTTGGGACCCTGGAAACCCCGGTCGCCCGAGACATCCTCGGAGGACGAACCGAGTCCCCAAACCGTGCGGTGACCCCGAATCCCCACTGGTTCACAACACGGTGAGGTCACCACAACGTCTGGGGGGCCCCCGAGGGGGGGCAGGGCTCGTGCTGCCTGGAGCCTCTCGGCGGGCGCCAACCAGAGAGTGCTGGGCGTCCCCAGGGCTGCATCACTCCACGCCGCATCGCTGAGGATACGAAGGATCAATCGTCACAGGACGAACGAGCTCAATCACCGAGGGCTCAAGTCACCGCCTAACCACAAAGGAAGAGGACGAGGGGGCAGAGGAAGGAGGAGGAATCCATGATCCAATATTCCTCCTCTTAGCCCCCTCCCTAAGGGAGGGGGGAAGAAGAGGAACCTCCTCCCATGGGACGACGCTTGTCCTCATTTCTATTCCTCCTCCCTGTCCGCGTGCGCGCTTCCGCGAGCGATCTCCCCCCCCCTGGCGGGGGGGAGCCCAAACTTCCGACGTCGCTCCCTTAGCATCCTGGCGTCGTCTGTGCCGGCCTCTGGGGCCGTGTTCGGGCCCTGGGGACCTCCATCAAGCTTGAGGGGTCCACAAACACGGTAAGGACGTTGAGTCAGACTTTATTGTGGCCTGGCTGCTGTGTGCTGGTGTTCAATTTCATGATACGCTGCGGCGCAGAGAGCGGAGATGCGGAAAGGCAACACTTCTTGAGGCGAACAGTGGGAAGCAGTGAACAAGAAGTCGGAGATCGCACAGACACACACACACACAGACACACACACACACACACGCAGCTCACACTCCCCTCCACTCCCATGGCTCCCCTTCTGTGAGGGGGAACGATCGGGGGGGAAACAGCTACCTGGAATCGGCGAATCATCGTCGACCGATCGAAGATAGGCTCCCAAGAGCGAATCCGCGTGTTCCTGGGCGGGTAGGCTATCAGGCCCCTATCGACGATCAGTAGGCGATTGGGGGGCGATGCATCTCCCCACTGAGCATATCCCCCCCTGACGTTGCCCCTGATTCGTGCTCCTCCTCGTCTCCTCCCTCCCCCTCCCCATCCTCCCCCCCTTCCCCTGCCGGCAATCCATGGGCGATTCGCGGTCGATGCTTCCACCGATGTCTACTCCTCCTCGCCTTCCCGCTCCCTCTCCCCATCCTTCCCCCCCCCCGCCCCCGACGTCGCCGCCCGATGCCAGAATCGCCGTGGCGGCCACGGCCTGCACAGACATTGCCGGCCGGTGGCTCGCTCCAGGCTGGACGAAAGAGGGAGTCAGTACCCGTCCGTCGGAAGAAGCGGGTAGAAACATGAAGCAGGAAGGCGGTGGAAGTAGACTGGGCTTCCGCCCGCCACCTGAAGAGGAAGTGAGGAGGACAGCCGCTCGATCATTGAAGCAGGAAGGTGCCTCAAGCAGATTGGGATCTGGGAGTCCAGAAACACCTACATCCAACGACGGACCTGTGAAGGGGAGGGACGGGAAGGGGGGGGGGACAACTCAGGAAGCTCAGCTGCACGCCCGTGGCCTGCATGCGTCTGATCGCGCCCCCCTTGCGATTTCTCAGCGGACGGCGTGCGAGCGGCGCGCAAGCACCGCACGCGCCCCTCTGGATGCTCGACCGTGCTCGTTCCCGAGTCTGCTCATCCTGGGGCGGCGCCTCTCTGGCGGCCACGCGTCTATAAAACGGTCGGCGGCGGAGCCAAGACCAGCTGCCCGCATCAGCTCTCGCACCCCCTCCCCTCCCTCCCCGCGATCGACGCCCGAGGCCACCGAAATGGGGCTCTGGAGAGGATTGAGACAACCTCGCGCTCTGGATCGCGCGCGCCGCACCGCCGATGCATCGGCGGTGCGGCGCGATCCTCCGGCCCCATCTGCTCTGACCCCATCTGGGTGGCCTCGGGCTGCCCCCCCATCCCTCCTCCCCTCGGGCTTTGACTCACCCGGCTCAGCGAACATTCCGGCTCCACCAGACTCGAAGAAGTGTACTGCAATCTCTTGGGGGGCTCCTCAAGCCCAGCTCAGCCAACATGTAAGGTAACCTCCAGGGTCGCGGACGGTCCCAAAATCCAGCTCAGCCAACAGGATCCTGCAAGACCCGGCGCTCTGGCTGAGCCCCGTTTGAGCTGAAACCCGTTGCCTCCCGCCCCTCCAGGCCTCCGCAATTAGCTGGGGGGCCAGGGTCCGATCCTGGTGCTGCCTGGCGGCCCGCAGCTGCGCCATCTGCTGGCGCACCTTCCCAGGGCGGAGGGGTCTGACTGCTCTTCCTCTCGATGATCCTCAGAACGTGTGCTAACTCCAACGTGCGTTTGTCTTCTGAAGCCCTCCAACGCGACGCAGGCGGCGCAGCTAATGAGGGCCAACACTGGCTGCGTGCTATAGGCTATCGACGGAGCTGAGCGGGGTAGCACACACACACACAGCTACAAACACACACACACACACAACACACAACACGCGTAACGCACAGCACACACACAACACACAACACACAACACACAACACACAGTTCACCACAACACAACACAACACAGCACAGCACAGCACAGCACAGCACAAGACAAGACAACACTCACGCATATTGGGCCATCACACGTGACCATCGATCTTCTCCCACCCGTTCCACCCCTCTCCGTACTCCGCTCGAGCTCATGAGCTCAAAAGCTCTGGAAGCTGGCGGGTCAGGCTCGTGAGCTCGAGGAACCTGGGAGATGGGCTGGTTCTGACGGGCTCGTTCGGCTCCGTCGTACTGACCATAATAGGGGAAGCGGCATTGCAAACACCATCCGGACTCTCGCCTTTCAGAAACCACCTGTTGTTTGAACATCCCATGTTATTCCCCAAGCAGTGCTTGCACTAAGGGCTTCTGACTTGCTTTTAAAGTAAGTTTGCGGGCTCACTAGGAATTCGCCTGGTCGCAGCCCGTCTGCGCCTAGTGGGCGCCTCGTGCGCTGGCTGGGCTCATGTGATTTTCGCCCAGTCGCCGCCTGTGAGGCGTGGGCGCCTCGTGGGCGCCTCATGCTCAGGCTGGGTTTGCAGGGTGTTCGCGCGATCGCCACCCGGGTGCGCCTCGTCGCCGTCCACATATCTTGCACCGCGCTCCTTGCACCAGCGAGACTGCGCTATGTAGCTTGCACCACATCGATTGCGCCACATAGCTTAAACATCCAGAATGCAACAGCTCAAAATTTTGGGCTCACGCTGGCAACCATACGCGCATGTACGTACATCCATAGATGCATAACCGCCAGCCCCCTCCTGGGGCGCAAGGCTGCGAAGGTGTGTGTGTGTGTGTGATCTGCTGTCATGTGCTATGTGTTGTCATTTGTTGTTTGGCCTTTTGTCTATCCAGTCCTGTTTCCTGCCTGCTGTTTACTGTTAGGGGGCCCCGCCGCGCCACCAAACAGACGTCGGGGGGTGAACCTCAAATCCTGGCTGCTCCAGGCCACCTCAAGACTCTCATGGTAACGCCACCGCGCGGTCAAAACGGCCCGAGAGGCCTCCAAGATTGCCCGAAGAGGCTCCGAAGAGAGCCTCAGGAGGCCAAGACGGCCCAAGATGACCCCAAGATGTCCCACGATGGCCCCAAGACGGCCCAAGATGCTCCCAAGACGGCCCATGAGGTCTCCAAGAGGCCTCCCAAGAGGGTCCCACGAAGCAGCAATGAACGCTGCTCGTAAGGGTTTTAACAGTGTTTGGCCTTCTCGCCCTTTTGGCTTTCCGACGCTCCGAGACGGACCAAGAGGTTCCCAAGATCGCCCCACGACGGCCCTAGAAGCCCCCATGACGGCCCAAGAGGCCCCCAAGACGGCCCCAAGACGTCCGAAAATGGCCCCAAGACGGTCCAAGAGGCGCTCCAGACGGCCCAAAAGGGCCTTAAGACGGCCCTAAGACGGCCCACGAACTGACAACTCTACCTTTCTGCCCCGAGAGGGTCCCAGGAGGCCCCAAGAAGGTCAAAAGAGGCCCCAAGAAGCCCCCAAGAAGCCCCCAGGAAGGCCCCAAGGAGACCCCCAAGAGACCCAACATATGGTTTCAAAGAGGCCCCAAGGAGACCCCCAAGAGGCCCCAAGGAGACCCGCGCGCAGCCGCCCGCACTAGTGATAGGGGGGCTGGCGGCAGAGGGCGAAGAACTTAAGATCCGGCCGCTCCCGCCCGGCGGGTTGGGCCGTGCGAGACCTCTCTGACACAGTGTCTGGCACAATCTCTGGCCCCCTTCTCTAGTGCCTGGTCAAAAACCTCCGCCCCAAGCCGGTCCAAGAGAGTCCCGAGCAGTCCAAGAGAGCCTCCAGACGGTTCCAGATCGCTCCAAGACGCCCAAGATGGCCTCCAGACGGCCCAAGACGCCTTCAAGACGGCCCAAGAGGGCTCCAAGAGCACCCCCAAGACAGCCCCGAGAAGCAAAAATCATTGTTTTTCCAATGGTTTTTGAAGGATTTCCACATTCAAGCCATTTCGGCTTACCCACGCTCCACGACGGCCCAAGAGGCCCCCAAGATCGCCCCAGGACGGCCCAACAGGCCCCCAAGACGGCCCCAAGACGGCCCAAGAGGGCCCCAAGACCGCCCAAGAGGCCCCCGGGACGGCCCAAGAGGGGCCCCAGGATGGCCCCAAGAGGAGGCCCAGAAGGGGAACCCAAATGAACATGTCGAGCTTTCGGCTCAAGAGGCCCCCAGGAGGCCCTAAGAGGCCGCCTGGAGGCCCCCAACAAACCCCAAGAGAGCCCCAAGAGGCCCCAAGAGGGCCCCAAGAGGTCTCCAAGAAGCCCCTGGGACACCCACAAGAGGCCCCTAAACTGCCCCGCAGAAGCCCCCGAGAGCCCGAGAGCTGTCCGAAGAGACTCCTGCAAGCGTCCATGAGGACTCTGAGCCAGAACCCAGGCAAGGTGGCCGGATCACTCCAAGACGCCGAAGATGGCCTCTAGAGGCCCTCACGCGCCTTCAAGGCGTCCCAAAAAACCTCAAAGGCCCCCAAGAGGGCCCGAAGCAGTTCGCAAGAAGCTTCCAGGAGGCTCCCCAGAGGCTCCTAAAATGCCCCGCAGAGGCTCCCGAGAGCTGTCCGAAGAGACTCCTACAAGCGTCTATGAGGACTCTGACCCACAACCCAGGCAAGGTGGCGGGATCACTCCAAGACGCCGATGATGGCCTCTAGAGGCCCTTACGCGCCTTCAAGACGTCCCAAAAAGCCTCAGAGGACCCCGAGAGCTCTCCGAAGAGACTCCTACAAACGTCCATGAGGACCGTGCCCCACAACTCAGGCAAGGTGGCGGGATCACTCCCAGACACCGAAGATGGCCTCTAGAGGACCTCACGCGCCTTCAAGACGTCCCAACGAGCCTCGAAGAGCATCACCCAGCAGCCCCAACAGGTCCGCATGACGCCCTCAAGAGGCTCCAAAACACAAGACCCTTACAGCCCTCCGAGGAAATTCCAAGAAGCGCCCATCGGGACTCTGACTCACAACCCAAGCGCGGCGGCGGGATGGGCCGAAGGCCAAGAAGGCTCCGGGAAACCCTTAGAGGCCGCCGCAAGGGTTTCAGGCGGTCTCCACAGGCACCGCAGCACCCCCAAGACAACTCCAAGAGGCCCCGGAGAGGCTCCCAGGGAACCCCCACGAGTTACCAGACTGCGCCGCAGAGGCTCCCGACAGCCCTCTAACAACCCCCCAAAACCGTCCATGAGGACTCCGACCCACAGACCCAGACATGGTGGCGGGATCGCTCCAAGACGCTCCGGATGGCCTCTGCAGAGCCTCAGGCTTAGACGCCTCCAACAGGCATACGCACCGCGTCACGACGTTCGATGCTGCGCACCACTTCGACAAACTCCCAGGGAGCGGCCGGTGATGCGCCGCCGGCGTCCTCGATATCGGTGCATACACACTTTATATATAGATATGTATGAACATGATTGTGTATGCAATCAAACATTCATATACACATAGATAAATGACTACAGCACATAAACATTTACAATCGGCATGCGTGCGTATACACACATATCTACCAAATAATAAAATGGTTGAGGGGATACCGCGAGGTGAAATATTTCCGTGTACAGAACTAGCTCCCCAAATAAGGCTGCGCCACAGGGTCATCCCAGCCCGACTCGAAAACTGGGCCCTCTTTCCCCCCTCCCCCGGCCCCCCTCCCCCTCGAGAAAGAGAAACAGACAGGGGGCGCTGCGGATGCTCGGGTCTTCCTGCGACGTAGAACAACTCGATCGATCTGGAAAGGCACCGGTCTATGGAGCAGCAGGGGCGAATGTAGAGGAGGAGGAGAGGAGAAGGAGGAGGAGGAGGAGCATCCCCTTGTTACTCGACGAATGGGGCTTTGTGTGCCTGCAACGGATGAAGTACAGAGTGTCTGGCAACCCGTCGCTGGACCGGTGCTGGTGCACGCGCTCCTGCCCTGGCAGCTCTGCTGGCTGGTGCGCTCGCTCGATCGAGCGGGGATCTCCGTAGCCATGTCGGCTCAGGCCAGGTCGGCTCCGGGGCCATTTCGGCCCTTGTCTGTGGGCTCCCGCCGCGCTGGGGGGGCTGGGGCCGCGGGCCAGCCCCACGCGCCCCGCCCGCAGGCCGACGGCCGCGAACGGGCGCACCGCCATGAGTTTAGTTCTTGCGAGAGCAGGAGCAGCCGACGCAAAGGATCGGCAGCTTCGAGACCGCTTGACAAGGAGGTTTGGCGTGTGTCATACGCGGCCAATAAAGGCAAGGGCATCGCACTTCGAGACTGGAGGAGAGCAGCCGTCACTCTCCATGGAAAGCCCCGTGCGACCCCTGAGCAGGAAGTAGACGTTACAGGCACGGTGGAAGAAGCCATGCAGGTCTAGTTGCAAATCTCGACCTTTTCCTATTCGCGAAAAGATGCATCACCGTTCGTCCCAGCTCTGATCTCGGAGCCGGATTGCAGCGGGCGCCTTCCAGAGCCAAGGCCGTGTCAGAGTGCTCGGTTACAGTGGGTGTGGGGCACAAATTGTCGTCTCCATCCCCCCATTAAGAGACGAGACATTAAGAAACGTTGGGCAGGCAATGGCAGCCCTGTCAGAAGAGACGGCAGTAGCATACGAGAACAGGCGGCAGTGGGGTCGGGAAAAGCGTTTGCGAGAAGCGGCGACACTGGCAGCAGATGGCGGCAATAGTGACAGAAACCAGAAACCATCAGCTACATGCGTGGGCTCAGGTGGGCGAGGAGAGTCGGCAACGGCAGCGGCAGACGGAGGCGAGAATGACAGACA